GTTTGTCACGTGAGTATTGTGGGACTCGTCCCTTGCGTTGAGGGGGTTGGACAGGACCCATGTTGACAACTGCCTTGAACGGGCCAGATTTTCCATTATATCCATGGACATGTGGATTAAACACATCATCGTACTCCTTTATGAGGGCGTGGAAACTGTTGCGAGTGTCTGGTGTGAACTGGTTATCTGGGTCAATGCGTACCTGTTCTGAACAATTGACCTTGCATGTAGTAGTGGACTGTCTGAGAGGAATGCTTTCTGATTGACTATCGACCATCTCGGTCCCAGAGTTTGGGATGGTGAATACTTGTTGAACCTGGCAAAAGTGCTCATGCTTCTTGAGGACAAGAGGCTCTTTGGTGTCATTAGGAATTCTAATCTTCCCTGAAACGCTGGACACTATATCTGGTGTTGGCCATTCTTTGTGGTCTTTGAATAAATCACCTGTTAGACGTGGTTCCACTGCGAATGTGTCATCTGAGTGGATCAGGTCATCCGGGAGTGATAACTCTATGAAATCGCCAGGCCAGATTGTTGTAGGGGACTTAGGCGCTCGTAAGACATGTGCACGTCTTACTGTATGGTGTGACGAGTGGGTTTCTTGGTTGCCGTACTGGAAGGTGGTTCCATCTCCAAGTGTAATTTGGCGCTTAGCTGGGCGAACGGCAACATCATTTATTTCCATGAACGGTGTTCCTGCAAGCAACTCGACATCAAGGCTCTCCACAACAAGGCCCTCGAAAATAAAATCCTTATTGTCACGGCTGAGAGTTACTCGTGTTTCACCAACAATATGGAGTGGGGATGAACCATCAGCCTGATGGGCAGATTGTGAACTTTTGGTGACTTCAATGCCGAGTCTCCTGGCAGTAGTCTGACTGATCATATTACCTGTAGCTCCACTGTCGAGGGTAAGACATATGACATTATGACCATAAAATGCGTTCATATATGGAGACTGACGTACACTGACTCTATTGACTGAAGCATTGTTTACACTTGAGGCAGTAACGGGAGGTGTAGATACTGTGTCTGTATGAGGGGACTGTCCATCTTCATCCTCTGACTCATCCAGAATGCTAGCTATTTGACGTGCCTTAGCCATGTATTTTCTGTCTTGATCAGGTAAGTATGAACATTCACTGAGAAAGTGATTGTCATTAGGACGACCAGCTGTGTGACAGAGGGGACACATTTTTTAGGTTGACTGGTAACGACGTTTATTGGATGTCTGCTGTATGCGAGGTCTAAAATTAGATCTTTGACTGAAGTTGTTTGCTCTAGTGGTAGCAGTCCTCATGACCTTGGCATCCTCGGATGAATGTATTTCATCTAACAGGGAATTGAGTGCCTGTGATATCTCAGGTTTAATTGACGCTAGAGTACGGGATCTCAGTTCCGTTCCATATCGTTGCTTCACCAGCTTGGGCAAATCAGGATGGATAAGGCGCAACCAAGTCAGGATAATAATGTTCTCTAACGTAGGTGTTAATTCCTCATCCTCGCCAATCGCCTCTCCATGATGAGTGATTCCGCCATTTTGTCTGAGCAGATTATCTTCCACAAATGCAGACAGGCGCTGGTAAAGATCCTCTGGTCGCTCCTCAGGTTGGAGATGTATGTCACACAAATCAAGAAAATGTGCACCAGATGACTGGAAGCCGTAGTGTAGTCTGATAGTCTGCCAGATACTTGAAATCGATACTGAACTTTTCACAATGGTGTTCCTGGCAATTACAGGACAATAATTGGCGATTTGGCCCAACATTAACTCGAGTGATGTTACCTTTTGCGCTGCCGTCTTGCGTTGAGCTCCAGCAACGTCTTCCCCATCATTTTCAAATCCTCGTAACGGGGTTGCACGTGTACGTTTTCCCCACGTGGCGCCGTCAGCAAGAAATGTTGCAAAATTCGTGTCCAGTGATAACGTATATAGTAGGTTTTGTTTCCAATTCTCAAACGAATTAACAGTTTCATGTTTCGTGAGAGACCACTGTTTCGGTGCTCTGTGAGTGTTTGCCATGATGTTATGCTAGAAGGCCTACTTGAAATACCCGCGCTATCGTGGCGATGTCGACCAGGTAGATTGCACACTTATTCGTGTAGTAACTGCGAAAGTCAGGTTAAGTGCCGTGTTCAGAGATGCGGATGATCGTCTCCGCTGCCACCACGCCAGCTTGGACCCTCGCAATTCACAACCCAACACAGGTATTCCAATATACTTGTAGCTTTACTTCTCAGTAATGGCCAAACAACATGTGTGGAGAAGACGACACAAGCCAAGGGAGGTAACTCTCCCACTACCTAGGCAGTCTGCCGCTAAACATAAACAACGGTCGCCAACCACACTGGCGATGGGTAGATCAATCCCTTGAAAGTGTTTCCATTTGTCAACATCACACTGTGATACACCTCTGCCATCTAACACAGGGATCTGAGAGAGCACAGGGACATTTGACATGTTTGTAACATGTCTTCCATTGATGCCTGTTAAGCTAAGGGAGACAAACTTTGTCTGAGACTCATACCTTTTGTCAGTAAGAGTATTCAAAGAAAGCATAGCAGCACCACTGCCATCCAACTTTAAAGTACTTGCCAAGTCTTTGCTTCCTGGGTCTAACAAAGCGTAAGTCTTAATTACTTCATGTTCACTACATCCTTTCACACAGACAGGAACTATGGAGAGAGCTATTCTTGTTCCTCTGGCCCCATTGACTCCATACACTGAACTTGATTGAATCTTGTTCTTGTTGTTGTTGGAGAATGTAACGTGAGATTCGTATCCTGGCTGTCTAGCATCGGCTCTTTAACAGATTTAAAAAATGTCCTTGAACTGTCATGTAGCAAACTGGAATGCTTCCGGTTATGTTGTTTACTGCTATTGTCACACATGCTGTCCTTCACACATCGAGATGACAAATGCCTTGATGAGAAACAATTAAAGCAAAACTTATGTCTTATTGTAAACTTCATCTTCTTGAACTTCTTTTCTCCGTCTGCCTTGAATGAAGAAGGGAAGCTTCTCTACAATCTTTCTCATTCTCAATTGATTGTCGATTTCGCCTAGCCTGCTCATTGCTGTAAGTGAAACCATACAGCTTCTAACAGACTCCGTGTATCTTCTCAATCTAGCACTGTCATTAGGTTTCAAGTTGGGGACTTGGCTTGTCCAAGACACTGCGTTTGGATTGAGTTGCTGGTCACTTACTCTGTCTGTGGGTTTCGGGTTACTTGACACTAAATGCACTCTTTCGGGATTTGTGCCCATTATACCATCATCTTTAACAGAAGGGGGTCCATCGATTTCATCGATTGCCTTTATCTCAATTTGAAGATTCTCTTCCTGTAATTCACGTTCAAATTTCTTTAACTTCTGTTCCTGACTCTTCTTCAGAGCAGATTGTTTGACTTTCAGTACAGCTCTCCTAGCTGCAATCTTCTATCTCGTGCTTCCACTACTTGCATGGCTTCCTACTTGACTCGGGGCGGTCGGGTAGCCTAGTGGTTAAAGCGTTCGCTCGTCACGCGGAAGACCCGGGTTCGATTCCCGACATGGGTACAATGTGTGAAGCCCATTTCTGGTGTCCCCCGCCGTGATATTGCTGGAATATTGCTAAAAGCGGCGTAAAACCGTATTTACAATGAGACCATTTATCTGATTTTCAGTTCTGGTGAATGCAGATTGGATATCCGCCCTTTCTTTATTCAGTTGAATTATCCTTTCACTCTGAACTTCATCTTTATTTATTGTTACATTAGCCATTCTGTCTCTAACAATCCAGCTGTATGTGTCACTTCTAATGTCTGATGATAACATTCTTAGTTATAAATAAGATTTCTTGTACTTTTATGTAGGTGATACACTTGCGCCATTGACACACACTTCTGTACACTGTCTTGAATGGTTTATTTTAAACTTCATACATTCATTGATTCATACATTCTTGATTCAGTCTTGAAACATTGTGACCGATATTTCGTATTATGTCTTTCCTTTAAATTCTTTTACTGGCCCTTTAATTGTAAGGCCTATTGTTGACAGGTACAAGAAATTTTATAGGCCCTTTACACCCTACACAAGTTCATTTCATATTCTGTTTACATCCACGTGCTTGGCCGTGCACTGACTAAAACCCGGATGATTAACCAGGACAAACCAAAGAAAGTAGAGAACTTAAATGAATCTCTAAGTGAATTATCCTCACAAGTGGTAGCCTACAATATCAATCACTGGATTTTCAGGTTCAGCCTCGATTATTTACAGACCGCCGTCATATAGCTAGGATATTGCTGAATGCGGCGTTAAACAACAACAAACAATTTCTGTCCGACAGAAAAGCATAACGTCTGGTGTCCCTTCCTCGTTAAACATTCCAAGAATAGCAGCGCCTTAAACGTAAGTGAGTGATTGAGTTTAACGCCGCTTTTAACAGTATTCCAGTTATATCGCAGCGTGTCAGCTTTATGTGGGAGGAAAGCCCGAGTTGATGCAGGTCTCAGACGTTTACTACTTCGGTGAAACCTACGAGCACGGGTATGGTGCTGACAAACCTAGAAACATAATCGGGGCGAACCGGGATTCGAACCCACAATCATAGGTTTCTGGCGTGCCCAGGTTACGCAACTCTGCACAGCGAATCGCGGTGCCATAGACGACTGGGACATCCGTGCCCCCTACGCCTTAAACAACTGGTCCACCCGTGCCCCCAACGCCAAAGACGACTGGGCCGTCCGTGCCCCCCACGCCTTAGACGACTGGGCAACCCGTGCACCCACGCCTTAGACGACTGGGCAACCCGTGCCCCCAACGCCTTAGACGACTGAATCACACCTCCCATCACCCTAATTAGATTATGTACATGTTTAGAATCTCATGTGAATCCTCTGCATGTTTGGATTAAAGGGCATCATTCTATACTTGCATAGGCGTGTGAAATTAGGAACGTGTTTAGAATCTGAAACATATTTTAACACGACATATACCATTTATATATTTACAGTGGTTTTCCCAACATCACCATTTTATACGATGACTGGCTCCAGCTTTATCAGCGAAGGTAGCGGCCCTTTAGTCGTCACAGTCTCGCGATTCGGGATTTCTTTCGCAGACCCTGCCACAATTTATTACACCATTGAAAATGCCATGCCTCCGAGTATGGACATCGTTGAAACTTCTGTGACAACCGGCGTCAACTTAACGGAAGTCTTCGGAGCCACGACCACAATGATCACTATCACCGTACCTATCAGTGACGACTCGGTGAGATCATTGTGAACAGCATTAATGTCACTGTAGTAATCGTCAAATCGTAGTGGAGAAGTAATTAAAACCACATTAGCAGCGGACGTACTTTAAAATAGGTCCACGTCACCAAGGTCACAAGCATGTCAACATTGATATTCCCATATTTTCTGCTTTGACACGGAGGTAAGCTGGCACTCAACCTATACATTTGAGAAATAATGTCATGATGAAGAGAAACGCACATGCAAAACTTCTGCTACCTAAGTGTGGCAATCTCAGAGTTGACAGCCAAATATGCAATTTGAGAGAATTTGAAAGCATGGTCAATACAATATAATACTTAAAGGTTTTGCAAACATAAACAACAGAAAATATGTGTTGAATCCAACAACTAAACTAAACAACTACCATATTCCATTAACATTTATGAAAAAATGGCCGAGGAATGGCTGTAAAATTTTTTTTCTAAATTCTGATCTTAGCAACCCTGCAATCGATGACATTACAAGATTTAACGAAGGCATATCTTTTCCATACAAATAAAATAGTTATGAAACTGTTAGGGACATTCTATGGCGACCAGAATCGGAACAGGCCATTTCCTCATTGAAACAACCGACAATGAAAGTAAAATGTAACCTTATAAAAATTGTTTGAAAAAACTTTAGTCATGACAACATGTTGTTTTACAAACAAAATTGTGATCGATATTCATTGCCATCTCCGTCTACCACCACCGTAATGATTTGGCAGGAGGGGATTTAAAAGTCCATCAGAAAACACGCCTAGATTCTCTAGCTCCCTTCAAAAGGCGAACACAATGTACTGACATCACTGAAGTCAAAACACACTTGATCATAGCAACTTGTCAAACTTGATGAGATTCATTTCAGAACACGCACAATGAAGAAAATTATACACAAACCACTGTTTCTGAGCCGTAACTGTCACACTATTTCTCTTTCACACGCTTGTGTTGAATCTGTGAAAACTTCAAATTGACAGGTCAAATCATGCAGATTCCTGGTGTTAAAATAGCCGGCTTGTCTGCAGCCTTAAAAGCGTCTTGTCTGCGGCCTAAAAAACGGCTGTTCAGTCATATTCCAGTTCCATTGGTAATCACATTGTACCAGCAGGCTCATTCCCAGTGAATCTACAGGTTAATGTTGAACCACATCATAGATCGGTGTTGTCATCTTGCTTCGTAACCTGTCTGCCGAGGCACGGAAAATGTAAACATTGGCAGCCATATTGACAGTTTTGAAGTGTAAGTAACTGTGGTGTAGGTCAAGTTCTCCCACATCCGAGTTCGGGGTGGGTTATTTTGATTTTGATTATTTACTGGGGGTAATTGCTTACTAACTAATATGACTTACACATGCAAAACAAATAGTACAATGTGAATTCATAAGGTTTGTTGTAGAAATATATTCTTTTAGCATATAAAACCTTTTATCTACTACCTGTCATCCCTACAATGGAAATGGCATGTTCGATTTCAACGAAATAACTTCTTCTCTCTCTGATTCCCAAGAAATGATTCAGTGAGTCCAAACAGTGCACAGCAGGTTGGTAGAAATTAAAACATCTGTCTTTGGATTAAGTTTGGAGGGTTATTTGTCAACTTCTTTTTGAAAACTGTGTGTTAAATATATAACTTCCTGTGAGGATCCTGGGTAGAATAGGTCATCAGCAACCCATGCTTGCTGTAAAATGCGACTATGCTTGTGGTAAGAGGCTACTAACGGGATCGGGTGGTCAGGCTCGCTGACTTGGTTGATGCATGTCAACGTATCCCATATGCGTGGATCGATGCTCATGATGTCAATCACTGAATTGTCTGGTCCAGAGTCGATTATTTACAGACCGCCGTCATATAGCTGGAATAGCGGCGTTAAACAACAAACGAACAAACAAACAAAACATGTGGCCACTTTGTCGAACGGCAGTTAAGATTAAGGACCTTTGTACCATGTGTTGTTACGCGTTGAAAGAGAACATCGTTTTCAAAGCGTTGTTGCCGACATGGACGAATGTAGATAAAACTACTGTGTTTTTAAATTTAGTGTAGTCCCACTGTAGAGTAGATACCTCTTATCTTTACATTTGAAACCTCTTAAGCGCTCGGTTTCAAATTAAAATAAAAGGTATCTATCTACTCTACAGTGGGGCGAATCTACTCTACAGTGGGACGACATCAACTTTCAAAACACAGTAACTTTATCTCCTAACTAGTGAAAGTAACAGGAGTCAAAATTGTAAATTGTTCTAAATATAAAACGTCAACGCCATGAAATAACCAGTCTCGATTATCCACCGACACAGATTCCATTGGGCGGAAGAGGCAAAAAAGGCGGTGAAAATTATTTGAAAATCAGTGATGACATCAGGTGTCGGAAAGGGTACGCCTGCCGTGTCTTAGCGGTAGCACCCGCCACTCGAGGCAACATATTCCGATTATCATGTCATGAAGGGATCATAGTAAGGTTGAAATTGGGATACTTACGAGAACTTGTTAAAAAATTACAATTTGCTAAATAATATGTAACCAACAAGGGAATGTAATGCTTACTCCACGATGATGAAGATGTATATATACGTGCACAACGTTAACACAGTGCACAATGGTAGTAGTCATGAAATGTAATTTGAAAAGATATACACAAGATTAAATTTTATGTCTCTTGTGCAAGTGCTCCACTTGTAAAATAACGGTAAAACCTTTGTCGGAAACACCTGCTGTCATCGCTGATATTCAGTGGTCCATTCATATAATTTTCACAGCTATTTTGCCCTTTACGCCAAATGGAATGTGTTTCGGCGGATAATCAAATCAGGTTATTCTCTTGTATTAACATTTTATATTTAATATTCTATATATTTTATTAGAATCTACATGAAATTGACATGTGTCAGAGAAAACGATAATTACTGTTGATGCAGTGCAGCGGATATAATTAAATTGCCATTTGCAAAATATAACAGATTGCAAGGAAGATCAGTTATATGCAATGTTATAACAACGTTGATATTTGTGTCAGATTTTCGAAGGAACGGAGTCCTTTCACATTAGGATCCTGAACACAAGTACCGGCGATCCTGGGCCCGACGACACCTTCACGTTTACTGTCATTGACGACGACGGAAGTAAGTAAGGCAACATTCAAGGACATATTTCTCGTCAGCATTGCGACACGCATTGCGTGGATACATAGGTCTTAATGTAACAGTGATGGTTGCTCGGACATCCTTGGTCTTAAACGCACCGGATTAGAATAGGTCTTCAGCAACCTATGTTTGCCGTAAAAGGCGACTAACGGGATCGCTGAATTGGTTGATGCATGTCAACGTATCCCATATGCGTGGATCGATGCTCATGATGTCAATCACTCGATTGTCTGGTCCAGACTCGATTATTTACAGACCCCCGTTATATAACTGTAATATTGCTGAGTGCGGCATTAAACATCATACAAGCAAACATCCTGGATTTCGAAACTGAACCCGTTCGTGGTAACGTCCTTGACCTGCCGCATTGTATCGGACGTTCTCCCCAAACCAGGCTGGCATGCCGTGATCTAGCTGAAATACTGATCAAAGCGGCATTGAATAAACTCACTCTCAGTGAATTGTGTGTGTTTGGTGTGTAGGAATCACGGAGTGGTCGGAGTGGGTGCTCGGGGTGTGTGGGGGTACATGTGGGATGGAGCAGAGGATGGATACCAGGACACGGATGTGTGACACCGAACATCAGGAAAATCTCCGTTCGTGTTTGCCATTCAGCAGTACTGAAGAAAGAGCAGTCAATTGTGCCTCGCCTCGGTGTACAACCACAACAGCCCCAACCACAACGCCACCCCCTACAACCACAACTCCTCCAACAACCACAACACCCCCAACAACCACAACGCCTCCAACAACCACAACACCCCCAACAACCACAATGCCTCCAACAACCACAACACCCCCAACAACCACAATGCCCCCAACAACCACAACACCCCCAACAACCACAATGCCTCCAACAACCACAATGCCCCAAACAACCACATCACCCCCAACAACCACAATGCCTCCAACAACCACAACACCCCCAACAACCACAATGCCTCCAACAACCACAATGCCTCCAACAACCACAACACCCCCAACAACCGCAATGCCTCCGACAACCACAATGCCCCGTACAACCACAACGCCTCCAACAACCACAACACCCCCAACAACCACAATGCCTCCAACAACCACATCACCCCCAACAACCACAACGCCTCCAACAACCACATCACCCCCAACAACCACAATGCCTCCAACAACCACAATGCCTCCAACAACCACATCACCCCCAACAACCACAACACCCCCAACAACCACAATGCCTCCAACAACCACAATGCCTCCAACAACCACATCACCCCCAACAACCACAATGCCTCCAACAACCACAATGCCTCCAACAACCACAACGCCTCCAACAACCACAACACCCCCAACAACCACAATGCCTCCAACAACCACAATGCCTCCAACAACCACATCACCCCCAACAACCACAACACCCCCAACAACCACAATGCCTCCAACAACCACAATGCCTCCAACAACCACAACACCCCCAACAACCACAATGCCCCCAACAACCACAACACCCCCAACAACCACAATGCCTCCAACAACCACAATGCCCCCAACAACCACATCACCCCCAACAACCACAATGCCTCCAACAACAACAACACCCCCAACAACCACAATTCCTCCAACAACCACAATGCCTCCAACAACCACAGCACCCCCAACAACCACAATGCCTCCGACAACCACAACACCCCCAACAACCACAACGCCTCCAACAACCACAACACCCCCAACAACCACAACACCCCCAACAACCACAACGCCTCCAACAACCACAACGCCTCCAACAACACCAACGACACCGGCCCATACTTGGACCACATGGTCAACGCCCCCTACTTGGACCACATGGTCAACGCCTCCAACATGGACCACATGGTCAACGCCCCCAACATGGACCACATGGTCAACGCCCCCAACATGGACCACGTGGTCAACGCCCCCAACATGGACCACGTGGTCAACGCCTCCAACATGGACCACATGGTCAACGCCTCCAACATGGACCACATGGTCAACGCCTCCAACATGGACCACGTGGTCAACGCCCCCAACATGGACCACGTGGTCAACGCCCCAAACATGGACCACGTGGTCAAGGCAACCAACATGGACCGCATGGACCACTCCGCCGAAGAGCTGGACACCATGGACTAATCCCCAGCCTGGTAATTTACAGAATTTCTGCTGCCCAATTACACTCACAATATACGTCACCCCCTCCATATCATCTTACAGTGAAACTCAGGTTGTGTTCGCTTCAGACGTGCATATATTGAAAGCATATTACTACACATCGACAGTCTCCATTCTCCGTATTCTTTGTTCTTGAAGCCACGATGTGACCTTGCATGCTTCTAATTCACTTGATACCCGTGAAGATCCGGGGTAGAATAGGTCTTCAGCAACCCATGTTTGCCGTAAAAGGCGACTATGCTTGTCGTAAAAGGCAACTAACGGCATCGGGTGGTCAGGTTCGCTGACTTGGTTGATGCATGTCATCGATCCCAAATGCGTGGATCGATGCTCATGATATTAATCACTGGATTGTCTGGTCCAGACTCGATTATTTACAGACCGCCGTCATATAGCTTGAATATTGCTGAGTGCGGCGTTAAACAACAAACCAACCAACCAACCAATCTAATTCACTTGTGGGCACGGGTGGCCCAGTCTTTCAAGACGCCGCTATTCCCTTGGGCGCGCCAGAACCTATGATTGTGGGTTCGAATCCGGATTCGCCCCAATTATGTTTTTAGGTTTGTGAGCACCATACCCGTGCTCGTGGGTTTCACCGAAGTGGTAAACGTCTGATACCTGCATCACTTCGGGCTTTCCTCCCACATTAAGCTGACACGCCGCGATGTAACTGGAAAACTGTTAAAAGCAGCGTTAAGCCCAACTCATTCACTCACTCTAATTAAATAGGCTTCTGTTTTATGGTGTTTTATATTTGTCCTCGTAACCATAGTTACATGTACATAATAACTCGGCCATATGAGCGTGCGTGTAGCAGAGATGCCCACGGTCCCTAGTAAGGAGGCCTAACTTTGGTTGTTGATGGCCAATGGCCTGTTTATATACTGTGTTGTTAAGTAATAAGTTTCCTCATTAAAATTATGATGTGATTAAAAATGTGATGTGATATACTGCCTTGTTCCCTCTGTCCTTCCAAGTACCTATTCTATATGCTATAATTGTTTGACATGTTTAACATGGCTGAAATACTGCTGATGTGACTCAAACTTTTAACACTCACCTATACAATTAATGTATTAATATGCGTAATAGGAAGATTATAATTTATATATTCAAGTGGAAAAACGTACCTGTGTTTCATATAAAAGGTGTACATGTTAAGTTATAGATAATAACATCGCTTCCAGTTGTCCATAACAATCAGCGCGTTTTGTCATCTTATTACTTTTGTTGTCCTTACATGTACATATATATGCTCTCTGCCTCATAACATTCATTCACCTGATAAAGGAGTAAGCATATACATCAAAACGTTGTGTTTCGCCATAATAATGAAGTTGACATCCATAAATTTTCTTCCCTAACAACGTAATATCTGGTCTTTGGTCTGATCTATGTTTTACCGTTACCAATTCATTGACAAATCCCAATATCTAGTAACAGGAGACAGAGCGACCCGCCCTAAAAGAGAGGTGTTGTGACAACTGAATGAACAATATCAGGTTTGACCATTATTTAAATTTATATAGGCAGCAACGGTGCAGTGAAGACACCAGGTGATTGAAAACAGCCTTGGTGATGTTGTTCCAAATGTCGACCAAAGATTGGTCCAACTGAACAAGGGTTACCGACTGGTTCTGGTCCTATCGTAGACGTTTCTCCATCACATCCCAGACATGTCCTATGGGGGAGAGGTCTTCAGAAACAGCCGTCCAAGGCAGTATAGCAATGTTATTTTGCCTCTAAAGGTTCTCCTGGACGCCTGTATACCTTTCCTGGCTACCAGAGCTGTCCAAATGAAACCTGGACTCATCTTTGAATAGTTTCGTCACATTCCTGTCTTCTGAAACTCCAATGCTGTCTACACCAAGACAGGCGTGCCTGACCTTGTCGTGGAAGCACAATTGGGTGTGTCGCTGGATGTCGGGCCCGATGTCGTGCTCCCTCAACCGGTTGCATTCAGTTCTGCCACTCATTGGTCTCAACCCAGGGATTGTCCGAGCTGTTAATGTGGCAGTTTGGTGTCGATTCCGTAGATGCCCCAACGAATATTGTTGTCCTGTTTGACGTGACGTCTCCAAAGAGTTACTAATGTGGTTCGATGAACATTAAATTGGCTAGTTCGTTTTGTGCCATTTCTTTTTGCAGCATGCCCACGCTGTGGCATTTCGTAAACGTTATTTACGATTAAACAAATGCGTTATATGATAACCTGATAGCTAAACAACACAAACATAGAAATTGTGCGCCGTGCATTGCCAATCATACGTGAAAATTGTAAATCACAACCTGAAAGTCGAGCATACGTCTTAATGAATATGTATTTAATTTAAGAATACATTTATATTTTGAGTGACCTTTGTATGAAACACAGTTACCATTTTCGATTATCAGAGCAGTATTTATTGGTACATTAAGAACATCTAAAAATTCGAATGGTTTTCCGCTATCACCCGGCTATTTCCAACATTGCCAGAATATAACATGTTGAGTGTTTCTACTAATTTTAGAGTGGTCTCGCTGGTCAGCACTCGGTCCTTGCTCCACTACATGTGGACTAGGCTGCGTTTCCCGTCAAAGGTCAAGGCCGTGTCCAAGTAATGCCCCAACCTGCGACGTGCGGCAAGTTGAAACAGAGTCACTTGAATGCAATGTTGGCATTTGTCCAGGTATGTAGTTAATTACAGGGTAGCCATGACACTTGTCAGGGTATGTCCTCCATTACAGGGTAGCAATATTATAGCGATTTGCTGTCAAACTTCCCTGAACCACAGCCAATTCAGATCTCGTGGTGTAGGATATGGCCCCCGACACAATGACACTACCGCCACCGAATTTGTCGAATTCACGTACACAATTTGGGGCAAAACGCTCATTTCGACGATGATAAACACGTTGTCTTCCATCTCGCCGGTGAAGAAGAAATCGTGATTCATCGCTGAACCACACTCGTCTCCAGTTTTTCAAATTCCAATGCTGTAAGGTATGACACCAACGCAAGCGTCGCTGTCGATGGATCTGTTGCAAATCAGAGACGATAACTGGTCTTCTGGGTCGGATTCCAGCCTCGCGAAGATGGTTCCTGACAGTCTGGTCCGATATCCTCCTCAAACCAGGGATGTGTCCTGCAGTCTCCGTAGCTGTGGCAATGCGATAACGTAGGTTGAGTAGTCGAATTTAGCGATCCTGTACAGTGGTGGTAACTCTTGGTCGGCCGGTTCTCGGACGGTCTGCAGTGGAATTGAACTGTGTGTATCGGCCCCAAAGGCGGCAAATCGTGCTCTGGTGGACGCTGAAGTTGCGTGGAACAGAAGACTGCCATTCCCCTCTTTGGATTCGTCCCATGGCGATGTTCTGATCGGCAGCGCTGAGTCTCGGCATTTTCGAACGTGAAAAACGTTGACAATTGATGACAAATTATTGGCTTATGTTTGCCTTATTATAGCCACTACGTGCACGTGCGTTTTGCTTTACTGTTTACCTCCATGACATTTTTGAACAAATGTGAAAACAATGCCGGTTAAGAAATTGCAAATCGACAATGGCTGCGTTTTGACGCAGCGTTTGTCAAATATAAGGCCATCGACATTTTCCAATAACAAGTATCCAATTTATATACCGTTTTTTGTGAAGTAAGGTTCAATGAACAACATACTACCTGTGCGTTTCTTTTTTTGAAGAGTGTATGTATTCATGATGACATCTCCTCGATGTTTATAAGATGAAACACTTCAACACCTTCAGAATGGGGAGCTTGGCATGAATGGCAAGATGATGGCTGCTGTTCGGTAACCTGTGGTGTGGGCGTGATTAAGAGAGAGCGACGTCGAGTCTGTGGCACAATGAACAGTTCAAATGGCACTTGTGGGGGAAGTGGTGTTGGACGTGACACACAATCGTGTTTCGAAGTCGCTTGTTAACCAGCATACCAACGAGGGCCTTGTGAAGGTAAATTGGCATGTTGTTTGTTGTTTTGTTGTTTGTTGTTTAACGCCACTATCGGCAATATTCCAATATTGTGACGTGACACACATCAATATGTGTGTATTCGACCACTCGTTTCGACGTGTAGCTTAACGCCACTATCAGCAATATTCCAGCTATATAATCTATTGTCTTTATTCTTTCAGTCTCTTTGACATTATTCATTCATGGGCGAACACCCCTCATCATTATTTACACACACAAACCATCCTCATTCTCAGTCTTGAGAAGGATGAGTGACTTGAAGTGATAAGATGAGATATCATAACGGTGTTGAGTGCCCAAGTCGGATATAATAGACCATACACATTTGGCAAAACTTTTCTTCACCTTCGTTGTACGTACGTTAAAACCTTGATTCTATCCATAGCGTACCATGAGCACAAGCTCCATGCTCTGTGGCCTGTGGCTCACTGTGGTCAACGTGATTTAACATCGAATATTTCGTTACAGATGTCCGAGTTTTGCCAGCCAAGTACCCTCTTCTGGTGTACAATGTGAATGAAACATCAGCAGACATAAATATATATGATATGATACTTTGTTTTGTTTTGTTTTGATTTTTGGTTTAGTGCTCGACTTACGTTTTCCATTGATATACATGTCAAAGAAATGCGGACATCCTGTTAATGAGTGAGAAATGGGCTTCAAATGGTTTTCTTTGTGGTCGTAGATTCCCTGATCCTCCTTTAATGTTTGTTTGTTTGTTTGTTTGTTTAACGCCGTGCTCAGCAATATTCCAATTTTATGACGACGGTCTGTAAGTAATCGAATCTTGACCAGACAATCCAGTGATTGACATCATGAGCATCGTTCCACGAAATTGTGATACGATGACATGCATCAACCAAGTCAGCGAGTCTGACCACCCGATCCCGCTAGTCGCCTCTTACCACAAGCATAGTCGCATTTTACGGCAAGCATGGCTTGCTGAAGACCTATTCTTCCCCGGATCTTCACGTGTCCGTAAATATTGTGACGTGACACACATCAATATGTGTGTTTTCGACCACTCGTTTCGATGTGTAGCTTACGAAAATATACGAAAATATATTTTATCTTCAAAAGTTTAACCAAAAGCAATTGTAAATATAAAAGCAGACAAAAATGACGAGGTTGATAAACATTCCCGATGTAGGAATACATATTGTGGCATTACATGAATCAGATGATTGTTTAATTTATGCACATAACTTGACACGCCTACAAAGACAGTAGCTAATCAGTGGTGAGTAAGATCAAAACAATCTTCATAGGACATGTCCATCAAGGCAAGAGAGGAGGAGAACTGCAACAGTCAGACTGTAACGAGCCGGAACAAATATGTCGCGGCTGTTTCAAATGGCATGGTCAGTTACGGCCAGATTCAAACATTAGGTCCCTGAGAAGGGGAAGACACAGTTGGAAAAATGCCAGTTGGAAATGACCCGAAGACATGAAAGTTGTGGAACCGAGGCGGGCGGGAAAAAAACGTTTGCTGTTTCATTCCATCTCGCCTTCGGTCTCAGAGGGTAGTTTGGACAATGAATATGCATGAAAGTCGCTAAATGTCCTGTGCATGACGATACACGTGAGCAGAAAGGGAATCCCCTCGACTGTAATATTTGCATTCCCCGACATTCCGTAGTAATAAAAGTAGTCCCATTCAGTGGGCGTGGCTTAATTTTTTACTTTCTTTGGGAAATGAATGCAATATCACGTGACGATTGAGGTAATCAGAATGCAGGAATTTCAATGAACACAACGAAAATTTAATTATTACAAATGTAAAACCTTGAAACGTAAATGTTCCCTACCTAACACACAGGGACGGTTCACCACCCCTTGTATTTTCCGACTAAAAAAGCATTTTCGTGTTTGCAAAATCTCAAGAAATGTTAATAAAAGTATCAAAATAGATTTAGGTCACGAAAATTCTTTGTCATACATTTCGATATGATTATATTTAACATCAGTTTATATTAAAAAAATATTCTTGAAAACTTGGAGACCGCTGTTGGAAGTGAAAGAATACACGCTGGTCAAGTAACAAAAATGGCGCTTTGCGAAACGAAGAGTCTCGATTGACGAGTTAACTGAAAAATTAACAATTTATAACGATATATTTTCGAGAGAATATCAAACAAGAAGTGATATTAACTCCATAACTGACAATATGTCATTATTTTGCCTTGTAAATGGGAAAACAAAGTAAAAAGGACGTCAACATTTTTCGTACGAGCTTGACACTTACGATAAAAGGAGACAATTTAAGGGGAGTTAACTCTTGTATGACAATAGTTTCGGCAAAGTGTGATGTTCACAGCAGTGAAATATCAAGTGTTATGTATACTGCAATGAAAATGTCACTTTTCTCAACTACAAAAAAACGCTGACGTATGTGATAAGAAGACCTAGGACGTCTGCAAATGGTAATGCCCTAAAAAAATAGCGTTACCTTGAAATTATTGTCTCGCAATGATGACTTCTGTTACAAAGCAACAACTGCCCATTAGTCTCGGCTTGGGAGATAAAATCCCGCCAGCATGCTTATTTTATTGCATTTTCGTTGCGTTTGTGTTGATTCAGCCTGGAATTACTCTTCATGAGGTAATTGACTGTTGTTTACATATAAGGCATGCAGACAGTCCTGCAAAACACAAGAAGACAAGCAGATATTCCTACACACGCGATGCTTATCTTATTTACATGCTTACCCCTGCCGAGGAAGTCAGAAAAGAAATTGTGGACGAGTTGTTCGAAAATAATTAATTCATTTATCATAACGATATTCCTTCCATACCCCATTCAGACAAGTTACAACGAAAACCGCAGACATATCCTATAAAACCAACATTTTATTGTTCAATCACAGTGTTTGTGTTTTCTATCTTTGAGTGAGTGAGTGAGTGAGTGAGTAGGGGTGAGCAGTATTTCAGAGCGTGTTGGTTCGGTTTTGGAAGAAAGGAGCAAAACGTTATCCATGACGTTTTCCTCAAAGGTAAAACTGCGAACACAGTACTTATTGCTACATATGCCATGTGGGGGTACCCGGGAAGATCCGGGGCAGAATAGGTCTTCAGCAACCCATGCTTGCCATAAAGGGCGACTATGCTTGTCGTAAGAGGCGACTAACGGGATCGGGTGGTCAGGCTCGCCTCCTTGGTTGATGCATGTCATCATATCCCAATTGCGTGGATCGAAGCTCATGATGTCAATCACTGTCTTGTCCAGACTCGATTACTTACGGACCGCCGTCATATTGCTGGAACATTGCTGAGTGCGGCGTTAAACAACAAACAAACATCAAAGGAGAATCAGGACATCTACGACCACAACGAAAACCATTTAAAGCCCATTTCTTGTGTAATGCGCCGTGAACTCAGACTCACTCACTCACTCATTACCAGGATCACAAGGGCTCAGAGCTTACTCACCCACAACGAAACCTAATTTACGTCACAATGTATATTTGTCATGGTATGATTAGGAAATGTGAATACATACATGTCAGTCCGCTTTGCACAATATGATTTATCGGAGTTACCTCCCTTGGACCTCACAGTCATCTTGATAAAACTCGGCTTCATATTCAAAGTCAATAACAGCGACAAAACCATTTCCATAATCATAAGAAAAAGCTAAAAGCAGAGTTCATTGAACGACTATATTATGAGCATGTGTCAATGATTCGTAATCACTTATTGATGATAAAAGATCTTCGCAAAACGGTGAGCTACCCTGCCCGACCTGTGACACCCGTTATAAAACACGTTGTCTTCATACAGCCTGGTGGACATAGGGCGTGCAAGCACAACAGCATACATTGATGGAGAGAGCGCATAGCTAGCACCCCCAACGAGGAGTGTTGTCTTCAACAAACACCAATCCGGTGTTAGAATAGGTCTTCAGCAACCAATGCTTGCCATAAAAGGCGACTATGGTTGATGCATGTCATCGATCCCATTTGCGTGGATCGATGCTCATGATATCAATCACTGGATTATTTGGTGCAGGCTTGATAATTTACAGACCGCCGCCATATAGCCGGAATATTGCTGAGTGCGACGTTAAACAAACAAACAAACAAGCAAATCAACAAACACCTATTTGTTGTGCAGATTGTGAGAGTGGCGGATCCTACTGGTGGACCTGGCCATGCTTACACTGTTAGCGAATACCTGGTGTCATTATCAGTCATTACTGATTTTCAGTGATCCATTCATATTATTTTCACCGCTATTTTTCCTTTTGTTTCCAGTGGAATTTGTTTCGTCGGATAATAGAGACTGGTTATTCACTGGCGTTGATGTTTGATATTTATTTAGAAATGAAAGCAATAAGTGTCAAACATGTCAAACATGTGAATAAATATGCAGCAGAAATATCAGATATGGAGCCAAATTCTTGACTTGGGTTGTTAATTCCTGGCTCGTGTCAAATGTGCATGTGCAATGAAAGTTCTCCCGGACTTGTTAGCAACTTTTTCTTTCAGTAATGTAGAAACGCTGTAAATACTTAATTTTACACTGCCGATATTAATTTCCAAACTATGATTTCACAAATCCTTCCCCATGGCTTCAGTGCCCGAAATGGTATCTTCGTTTAACAATACTATAGTGTGAGGTTTCTGTTCAGATCTTTCTTGAGTTTCCGACAATCTGCTGATTATTTTGAGTGTATGCCCCAAACCAGAATACTAGATACAAGGCCGCAGAAAATAAATAGTTCCTACTACATCAAGTAACATTACCTGACCCACCTTACATATTAACTGCGCCCTTGACAAGACTTGGGGAGTATGTGTGCACCACCTCCACACACATATACACACGCACACACACACGCGCACACACGCACACACACGCACGCACTCACGCACGCACTCCACCACCACCGCCCCCCTCAGGCCTGACTTATTACAAAGGACTGGTGAAATATTCACGACAAGAACATTGCACATCAAAAGTTTTTTGACGGTTTTTATTTAATCCTAGGCATTACAAAGCATAATGTCCTGCAATAATTCGTAGCGTGACTAAATAAGATGACACACTATGTGAGGCTCAGTACTTATCAATCAACCGTCTTAAGTTCTATTGGTTTTCACATCCGTAGATTTACTTATTTCAGCGACCCGTGAAGATCCGGGGTAGAATAGGTCTTCAGCAACCCATGCTTGCCGTAAAAGGTGACTAAGCTTGTCGTAAAAGGCGACTAACGGGATCGGGTGGTCAGGCTCGCTGGCTTGGTTGATGCATGTCATCGATCCAAATTACATGGATCGATGATCATCATATCAATCACTGGATTGTCTGGTCCAGACTCGATTATTTAAAGACCGCCGTCATATAGCTGGAATATTGCTGAGTGCGGCGTAAAACAACAAACCAAACCAAAACCAAAAAACATATTTCAGCAATGCCTATTCCTAGCGGACACGACCGCCTCCGTGGTCTAGTGATAGTGCGTCCGCCAAGAGAGTGGAAGGTCCGGGCTCCGATCCCTGGCCGCGTCATACCAAAATACGTTAAAAGATGGTACTTGTTGTTACCCTGCCTGGCGCTCGGCATTAAGGGGCTAAAACAAGGACTGGTCGACACGGAGTCAGTATACTGTGTCTGAGTGGGGTATTCATGTTAAACTGCTGCATGGTATCTCAATGGGCTAGCACTATGAAACAGGCATTAGTCAAGCATTAGTACACACACACACACACACACACACACACACACACACACACACATGCGTGCGTGCACGTCGCTATATAAGTGCAATAATCTTGAACGCGACGTTAAACCTCACCGACCACCGAGCGGACACATTATTCAGCTACATTGTACATGTTCTATGGGCTGTTATGGAGCAAGCCTCTATCTGTTAGCCACACAAACAACTAACATCCGCGCCACCTCCTCATCTTGACATCTATTGAAGACTACACCTCCGACACTTCAAATGTCAACCTTAAAAAATAAACAAAGCAGGTTTTCACTATATATGCTAATAATGTATACCAAACCTTGCAATACAAAAGTTGCCACAATGTACCTCAGGTGGTATTTTCTTGAACCACAGAACTGTATAATTTACACGTATTAAACTCCATTGTATATTCGTCCGGTCTACGTAGGCTGTGAAAATTCAGTTTCTTTTCCAACAAATAAACAAAATTACCTGATAATAAAATCATTATAGCAGCTTCCCTTCTTATCGTTTTGAGGAATTTATTTTTAAATATCATGTTAAATACTGTATGTTTTTTTGAACTTTGGGAAGAAAATGTATTATAAATTGACAAACCAACCAAGTATTATTGATTGAAATATTGATTGTCATATTTGCTGCAGAATATTAAGGTTTGTAGTAATTCTAACTCTATGAGGCGAAAGAAAATTCCAATAATAAGACTGTTGATACAGTAGAGCACCTTCCCGACGCAGGAGAATTAGCTGTGGAAACTGGACTTTCATTGTCAGTTACCTCTCTTTCCACGGGAAGATGTCAGAAGGGGGGCATAAAGAGCGTCATTCACCCCCTCGCTCCAGCAGGATGCACTCCTTGTCTTGTCTCCCGTGTTACCAGAAACCAGTAAACACAGAAACATTGTGCACAAGTCCAGTTGCTTCTCAGATTGATCAATTTTGGTAATTCAGAAGTAGTCGAGTAATGTCCTGAACATGAATAAACTTCAAAGAGTTTGAAATTGAAATTGTTATGTTGTGATATACTTCAGCGTTCACTGAACACGCACGCAATGATACCATATATAACAAAGTAAGACAGGAACATATGATCGTGATGTAAATACGTGATGATATATCTAAATAAATACTTTAAAATGGTCTGAAACAAAAACTGCTGTCACATATGGTGGTAGAAGAAGTAAGTGAATATAAGTGTCGACTGAATACACAAACATACAGCATTTTACAATATATAAAGCAGATTGATAAATTCCTAAACTTATGGTAGTGTTCCGTCACTCTGGAACGATATGATCTGCATTTGAGCTTTACTTTTCAGTACGAAAATTACATAAATAACCCCTTAAAATAATATAAAGCACAAAAGTAATACATTAGACTATGGGATTATGCATTTTAGTTCAAATACAAGGGTCTGTTCAGTCTATTATCAATGTTTAGATCATTGGACACAGAGCAAGATTTGTCTGCACATGATTCGTTTCGAAGTTCATAGAATGAGTTCTGTCAGACATAACCATTTGCAGCTTGGTGAGGCACTTGTCACAATAATAGAAGTCCATGTCTGCACATCCCTTTTTCTATTTACACTTAAACACCTTAATCTGACCTTTAAACGAGTTGCATACATACACACTCCCTCGACCAGCTACACAAAGCCCACGTGGCTTGTCAACACCGTCTTGTGCTGTTAGTATCTTCTTCACAAACTGCCCTGCCTCAGTCAGATGGACAACGCTGTGGAGATCAAACTCTGTGACCAGGATGTCACCAGTGGGGGTGCAGATGACACCTTGGGGACCGTGTCGTGAACTGATTCCAGTCGGGGTGTAGGTGAACACCACATCTCCCTCGGGTTTCAGACACAAGACATTCATGGATCCAGAGTCAGACACTAAAATGTTTCCTGTGTTTGTAGCAGACAGGAAATACGGGTATTTTAAGATGTTTTCACCATGGTGTAATGGACTGATTGACCTCAACACGTTCCCGGTAACATCCAGGATTTCAACACAGGGCGGCGACTTGGTACATACTGCCAGGGTTGACGGTGCCAGAGCAGTTATACCTCGGTACTCTTTGCTCGTAGGGATTGTAGACAGCAGCACCAAGTCTGGGCTCGCTTCTACTATTACAATCTGTTTGATTTTCGGGACAGTCACAGCTATGTGGTTGTATTTCAGCTTAGTCAGACCCCACGGATCACTATCAAGGGTGAGTTTACTGTAAGATGGTTTGTTGTTGCTTATGTAGAAGGACTTCACACTCTTGTTGCTATAGTCTGTAGTGATTACTGTGTCAGTCCCATTTACAATCATCGTTATCACGTCAATTGGTAGAGCTTTGTTTGCATCCTCTTCTACTCCGACGTTAAGGGTTTCCAGTAACAAAGGAGCAGCCGCCAGGTCCATGACGTTACTGGTGTCCTGTATTTCAGGAGAAGCCTTCTGATCCAGCACGGTACTGGTGACCTGTATTTCAGGAGAAGCTTTCAGGTCCAGCACGGTACTGTTGTCCTGTATTTCAGGAGAAGCTTTCAGGTCCAGCATGGTACTTGTGTCCTGTATTTCAGGAGAAGCTTTCAGGTCCAGCATGGTACTTGTGTCCTGTATTTCAGGAGAAGCTTTCAGGTCCAGCATGGGACTTGTGTCCTGTATTTCAGGAGAAGCTTTCAGGTCCAGCACGGTACTGGTGTCCTGTATTTCACGCGTAGCCGTCAGGTCTAGCATGGTAGTGGTGTCCTGTATTTCAGGAGAAGCCTTCAGATCCAGCATGGTACTGATGTCCTCTATTTCAGGAGAAGCCTTCAGGTCCAGCACGTTACTGGTGTCCAGTATTTCAGGACTAATCTTCAGGTCCAGCACGGTACTCATGTCCTGTGTTTCTGGAGAAGCCATCAGGTCCAGCACACCCTCATACAGGACGTCTATTTCACCCAGTTGAAGGTCGTCCAGTGCTCTACTCAGCTTGTCCGTGTCCTGTCTGAACATGATCCTGGCTATTCTTCCCTTCTCCTTCATGTCTGCATCTCCGACAGCCTCCGCATCTCCGGCCTCACACACCTGATACATCTCATACACATCCATGTCAGACTCAGATTGTAGAACCTGGTCTATCAGCTCCGCCTGTTGTTGGCACATCTCCAGTGACATCTCATCTGAGGTAATATCTTCTTGAAATTGCCTAACATGTTTGTCAGATATCGATTTTAGTTCCTCAATGAGTAGCCTTTCCTTGCGCTTGATCATTTCGATTGCTTTGTTACTTAACGACCGAATGTCTGACTCAAGTTGTAAATACCTCACTGTCTCTCCATTTGCTATGAATTTCTTTCTTCGCAATTCAGTTTTTATTTCATCTTCCCTCCGTGATAACTTATCTTTAAACTTGGTCAGTTGTGACTTGACTGCCAACACCTCCGTCTCGATGGTGACAACAGAGGCACATTTATTGTGGTAGGCCGTGCAACATGTTTCACTAACAGCTTTGTTGCAAGTTTTACATGTGAACCCGGCAGTCTTCTCCTTGTACTCTTCACAAATGATCTTCCCTCGTCCCTTTGTCGCGACTGGTCCTCGAGTTTCCTTTGGTGTCTTAATGTTGGTCGTGTCTGAAAGGTAGCAGTTGTGTTAGTGCTCTTATTCGGGTTCTTGAATAAATTTCTCTTAAAATGTAGCATGCCTTTAAATTCCACAATATGTAGCTCAGGACGTTTGATCGTGATATTATATCATCAATCAACGTATCAGGCTATCCTTGGGATTATATAACACTCGATGTCTGGTAGGTATTACAAGGATCTGTATAATATTAAAATTCATTCACTGCTGAACAGAAACAAATTCAAACAAAAGCATATGTTTTATACAACATGTGTTTCAGGGTGTGGCAGGACCGGAGCCAGAGAAACTGTCAGGCATTATGCTTGCCGGGCAAGGTCACCAATCTCCCTCCTCTCTATCGCTAGCATCGTCTACTTAAGTTTTACACGTGAGTGGCGGGTGCAACCGGTAGATCAGTACATGCTTACCCTCGTGTCATCTCTGACTTCCATTCATGTAATTTGTATCACTTTTCTTTTACATTAATGCCCAACGGAATCAGATAATCGAGACTGGTTATTATCTGGCCTTTTACATTCTGATGCGCTTGTGACAATACCACATGCCATTTTCACCCAAACTGTTATAATATAATGACGTCGTAGTGACCAGTTATTCTGCATTGGCGGTATGAAATGTAAGTAATTTAGAGATTATGAAACACTATTAATGGATCTGTGATACATATCTACAAGTTTACTATCCGCTGACTTTTTTTTTATTAAGCTCTACGTGTGTGTGGTCATAATGTGATGACTTATTCAGCAACACATGCAACGACTAAGCACTTTTACTTGGACCTTGACATTGTGCATGATACCCGTGAAGATACGGGATAGAATAGGTCTTTAGCAACCTACACTTGACATAAAAGGCGACTACGCTTGCCATAAAAGGCGACTATGCTTGTCGTAATATGACCATGCCGTCATTTAGCTGGAATATTGCAGAGTGCGGCTTAAACAACAAACAAAATAAAACATGATTCGTTCAGACTCGATTATATACAGACCGCCGTCATATAGCTGGAATATTGCAGAGTACGGCGTTATACAACAAACAAAATAAAACATGATTCGTTTAGACTCGATTACATACAGACCTCCGTCATATAGCTGGAATATTGCTGAGTACGGCGTTATACAAAAGAAAAAGAAAACATGATTCATTTCTTGAAAGGATATTGTGATGTGGTGCATGTGGTCATCTACGGTTCATTGGGACATGATTGATATTAAGTTGCAAAAGATCAGTCGTTTGAGACAAAAACGAAACTCAAAAATTCACGTTAATGAAAATGGTAGTCGCAGATTCTTTTAGGAAGACATTGACATACTGACACGATCCTGTCGTTGTCATCGTCACATCGAGACACTTCTCTCTCATAAATAGTCAACAATGTGAAACAAAATAGTCTTACCTTTGGAGCACGTGTTCAAGAGGCTCTGACTGACAAAGCTAGGCTTCACGTCATCCGCCCACTCCTCCACTGGTCTCTCAGGGGCAGACACTGTCGTCATCTTGCTGCAGAATGGACACAAGAGAGACTTGGCACTGATGGCTTCTGGTCTGGTTTCGGTGTAGTTGACGACACATTTTCGACAGACATTGTGAAAACAGGCAAGCTTGCATGGACTCTCGAACACTTGGAAGCATACGGTGCATGTCAGAAATTGTTCCCCTGACTCGACGGTAGCCATCTGAAAAGAAGATCGACGTGAAGGGGAATGTACAACACACATGGTTTAAGCAAACATTGCATAACGATTCGATTGAGCCATGACACTCATCCTTACAGGCAATCATTAGAAATTTGGGTTACTTTTAAATGCTAAGTGAAGATATGGATGAGATATTTCCCGAATACCCAGTACACAGTTTACAGTGTGCCGCTTTACCTCAGCTGGTGAAACTGCCGGCTGTGATAAATATCAGTTTATTAAACGATGTTGGGCGAATAAATATGTAAGTCGAGGGTATCATGTCGTGAAGATGAATTCCATATATATTATTACTGTCGCACTTTTTCAAACATCAGAAACAAATTTATTACAAATACGTAAGTGCATACTCTCATTTATATCTGGCGAAGTCATAAAGCCGATATGATTAAAATAGTTGCTTATACTGAAAAACGTGTTGCAAATTTGATGTGTATGCATCTGAATAGGATATGCTTTGTTATGTTAGGTGGGAGGACTTACACTGAATAGTTTCCCTGACACGGATGACTTACCAAGGGCATGTGATTATGGGAGGCACAGCTGTGTTTTGGGTTTCATGTCTTCGCCCATGCCTCGTATGACGCATGTGAAAAAAACTAAAATACTAAAGCGGCGTGAAACACAAATACATGTGTTTAAGTTTGCACAATATCAAGGCATGGTAGCGCTTGTTATATACTGAGTCAAATTAAAAACTTCACATTTTTAAAAGTAATCCCATATATGATATACAACGGACAAATGTATCAGAGAAGGTAATTTTTAATCATTAATGTCCAAAGACGAATTTTAATTAACAGTGGTAACCATAATTTGTTCCAAACACCTACGGTATTCGGTAATAACATCAACAGTTTAAATCATAAGTCCCAAGCACGAGAATCTGATGGCACACAAGTTCAGTAGCGTGTATGGCCACCATGTGCGTTGACAACTGCCACACAACGCCTCCGCATGGACCTTGTGATGCTTGTGAACACATGATTGGGAAGACGACGCCATTGTTGCTGCAAAATGGTGCCAAGATCTTGCAAATTCTTTGGTTGGTTCTGGAGAGTGCGCAGACTTCTGCCAAGAGCATCGCAGACGTGTTCGATGTGATTGAGGTCGGGAGACTCCCGCATTCTGAAGGAAATTCCTTGTCAAAATTGCTTTGTGGGGTCTGGCATTGTCGTGTTGGAAGATCAAACCGGGTCCATTTGCTGCCATAAAAGGCAGACGTTCTGGTGTCAGTACCTGGTCGCGGTAAGCAGCAGCGTTGAGGTTGCCACGGATGACAAGAAGCCTGGAACGTGCATAGCCACAGAAAGCACCCCACACCATGACACTTCCGCCTCGAAATCTGTCAACTTCCTGTACACAACACTGGGCGTAACGTTCATGACGGCGCCTCCACACCCTCGCCCTACCATCAGCAAATCGAAGATTAAATCGGGATTCATCACTGAAGACGACCTGATTCGAATTCCTCTGAGTCCATCGTAAGTGTCGCTGTGCCCACAATTGACGTTGACGTCTGTGTAATTGAGTCAGAATCGGCCCGCAGTATGGCCGTCGTGCTTGAAGGTGAGCCGTTCTTAGACGGTTTCGAACAGTTTGCGCACTCAGTTACCCCTAAACAGTTCATTTCTGGTTGATGTAGCCGTCAAAAATCGGTTTCGGAGGTGACGTAAGACAATCTGACGATCCTCTGCATGTGACGTCACACGTGGTCGACCTGGCCGAGGGCGATCAGCGGTGGTACCCGTTTGCTGTAGACGCGTCTGTAAATCATAAACAGTCCGTCGACTACAACCCGTCGTCCTTGCGACTTCAGCTACGGACGTTCCCGTCTGCAACATGCCGATGGCATGTTCACGTTGCACATTTGAAAGGCGTGGCATGACAAATGGCCTCAAAGACTTTTGTTTTCTTGTGTTTTTCATTTTTTGTTAATGACTGCTAACAAGTATGGCTGAAAACACATGCGGTATTATGGCCACGTGACCAGTTGCACGTGAAAACCCACTTTTGCCACTATAGTGGTGTGCACATGATTTTGATCGATTCACCTGCACAAAAACGGGTGTTATCTGAAGACAATACGTGCCCATTACTGTTTACATACACAATAAGGACCCACAATGATAACTGGTCAAAATGTTAAAATTTTAGGATTGTGAAGTTATAAATTTGGTTCAGTATATGATGCAGTGACCGAGATTGCTTTCAAAAGTTAATTATAACACTAATAGTCATTAGAGGATAATATACTGAACCGCAAAAGAAACGTCACCATGGAAAGACAAAATGAGAAACCTTATTTGTCCAAACACTGTAAACATATTTTCAGACAAATTAAAAAGTTGAAACTTGGCCACACTGATCATCAAGGTTGAAATTAAAGTGTCAAATGTTCTTAATTTAAAACAAAACACTAATCTCTGAGAAAATGGCATCACAAGTCAGTATATCGTATGTCCGCCAGGTGCATTGATAAACTGCCGTGCAACGTCGATACATGGAATGGATGACGCGGTTGATGAAGGCCATAAGCACTTGAGCCCACACTCTGAGAAACACCTGATGCAGTTCAGCTGCAGTTGTCGGCCTTGGTCGGACGTTATTCAGCCGTCTTTGAATCTCGTCCCACATGTGCTCAATGAGGGCAGGCCACAGCATGGTTCTGATGCCATTCTGCTGGAGGAAGTCTCTTGTTGCTCTCCCAGTGTATGGCACAGGGCCGACCCTCTGTGCAAGACCAATTCCACCCCACACCATGATGCTCGGACCACCCCACGAGTCTCTCTCAACAACACAAGCATCCGAATAATGTTCCCCAAGGCATCGCCAGACTCTCTGCCGTCTGCTGTTGAGATACAGTAACGGCTCTCGTCTGAGAAGAGGACTCTTCTCCACTGCTGGTGGCGCCAATGCCACTGCTGTGTTGCCCACTGAAGACGGCCCCGGCAATGACGTTGTGTCAGAATGGGTCCTCGGTGTGGCCTGTGACAGGTGTCTGCTCGTCAATCGTCGACGCACGGTGTCCGCACTAATGTGTCGCAGGTGTGTCCCCATGGTCTGTCGAGCAGTTTCCGCAGCAGTAACAAAGCGATGTTGAAGATGCTGTCGCACAATCTGACGATCGTGACGTCGGGGAGTGACCCTTGGTCTTCTACTACGTGGTCGATCATCTGTAGTGTTGGTGGTCTTGTACCGTTGCTGGAGCCTGTATGTTGTCCTTACGTGGACTTGGCTCATTGCCGGGTGGTTTGTTCAGCTTGCAATCGTCCAAGGGCTTGGTGTCGCTGATTTCTTGTCAATCTTGGCATGTGGTAGCAATTCAATAACGATTGAATGTTATCCGATCTGGGTGGATTTTTATAGGGCAAGAAATGGGGGAACGCATGTGTATTTCAATTTGTACGGAACTGACGTGCATCGGGTTACCATGGCCGTTGCCGTGATGCGTTTGGGCGATCGGTTTTACTCTCATCTGCTTTGTTTATTTATCATCAAATTTCAATTTTCCGGACAAGGTAGTGTTGGTAATTTTGGAAACTTTGAAATAAAATTACCCAGATATTCAAATGACAACTTTTCATGCAGTGTTACTTGAGGTGACGTTTCCTTTCCGGTTCAGTATATATATTTGAACCATAATCGGGGCAAACCAGGATTCGAACCCACAATCATAAGGGACTCAACCCTGCACAGCAAATTGCGGTGCTTTAGACAATTGAGCAACTCGTGCCTCCCTCAAGGCATAGTAAACGCATGGTGTCTGATGCAGTGTTTGAGACCGCTTTAAACAGCGAGTCTAGTAGTTACAAGCACTAGTAGTTACAAGAGTATATCTTCTTGATTGGAGGAAGTCCAATCTGGAACAGGACGAAACCGAGGATGATAACCCTGACGACACTGGGATTTATTCAACTTAGGAGGATCAGGTTGGAGATACATTTCCCCAAAACGTAGAGTTCAGACGCTTTCAATCACTGTTCCATAATACGATCTTAGAGGAATATGTCCTGACAATCACCAAACACAGACACCACTCACAGGCATCAAACACACTCATTACACACAGGCATTACACATAGGCATCACACACTGGCATCACTCACACTCATCACACACAAACATCACCTGTAAAGCGTCACACACACCAATCACTAACACTCAACACACTCATGCATCACAACCAGGCATCACTCATAGGCGTCGAACACACTCATCACTCACACTCATCACACACAGTTATCTCTCACACTCATCACACTAACACTCATCACACACAGGCATCACACAAAGGCATCACTCCCAGGCATCACACAAATATCACTCACAATTATCACTGACTCATCACACACAGGCGTCACACACAATTATCACACACAGTCATCACTCACACTCATCACTGAGTCATCACACACAGGCGTCACACACAAGCATCACACACAGGCATCGCACACATTCATCACACATAGGCATCACTCACTCATCATACACACTCATCGCACACAGGTATCACACACGGACCTCACTTACAGTCATTACTCACACCCAACACTCACTCATCACTCATAGGCATCACACACATACATCACTCACAGGCATCGAACACATTCATCACACATAGGCGTCACTCACTCATCATTCACACTCATCACACACAGGCATCACACAAAGGCATCACATACACTCATCACTGACTCCTCACTCACAGGCATCATACACACTCATCACTCACACTCATCACTCTAACTTATCACACACAGTCATTACTCACGCTCATCACTGACACACACTCATCACTCACACTCAACACAAACATTCATAACTCACAGGTATCACTCACAGGCATATCACAGGCATCACTCACAATTATCACACACATTCATCACTCACATCCATCACTGACGCATCACTCACATCCATGACCAACAATCATCACTCTCACACTCATCACACACAGGCATCACTCACACTCTTTGCTCACATTTCACACACAGGCATCACACACAGGAATCACACACAGTCATCACTCACATTCGTCACTGACTCATCGTTCACACTCATCACCGACACTCATCACTCACACTCATCACACACAGGCATCACACACACTCAGCACACACAGTCATCACCGACACTTGTCACTGACTCATCACTCACAGGCATCATACACATGCATCACACATATACATCACACACAGGCATCACACACATGCATCACACACATACATCACACACAGGCATCACACACAGGCATCACACACATACATCACACACAGGCATCACACACACTCATCACTCACACTTATCCCTGACTCATCACACACAAGCATCACACCCAAGCATCACTCACAGGCAACACTCACAGGCATCACATACAGACATCACAAAAAGGCATTACACACACTTATCACTCATAGTCATCAGAGACAGGCATCACACACACACTCATCACACACAGGCATCACACACAGGCATCACACACATACATCACTCACAGGCATCAAACACTCATCACACACAGGCATCACACACAGGCATTACACACATACATCACTCACAGGCATCACACACACTCATCACACACAGGCATCACTCACAGGCATCACACACATACATCACTCACAGGCATCACACACACTCATCACACACAGGCATAACTCACAGGCATCACACACATACATCACTCACAGGCATCACTCACAGGCATCACACACACTCATCACACACAGGCATCACTCACAGGCATCACTCACATTTATTACTCATATTGATTACACACACTGATCACTCACTTTTATCACACAAAGGCAGCACACACAAGAAGCACACACAGGCACCACTCACACTTATTATTACTCACACTCATCCCTCACACTCATCACTCTAATTCATCACTCTAACTCATCACACACATCACACACAAGCATAGCACACTCATCACTCACACTCATCACTCATGGTCATCAGACACAGGTATCACACACACTCATCACTCACAGGCATCACACACAGGCATCGCACACATTCATCACACATAGGCATCACTCACTCATCATACACACTCATCGCACACAGGTATCACACACGGACCTCACTTACAGTCATTACTCACACCCAACACTCACTCATCACTCATAGGCATCACACACATACATCACTCACAGGCATCGAACACATTCATCACACATAGGCGTCACTCACTCATCATTCACACTCATCACACACAGGCATCACACAAAGGCATCACATACACTCATCACTGACTCCTCACTCACAGGCATCATACACACTCATCACTCACACTCATCACTCTAACTTATCACACACAGTCATTACTCACGCTCATCACTGACACACACTCATCACTCACACTCAACACAAACATTCATAACTCACAGGTATCACTCACAGGCATATCACAGGCATCACTCACAATTATCACACACATTCATCACTCACATCCATCACTGACGCATCACTCACATCCATGACCAACAATCATCACTCTCACACTCATCACACACAGGCATCACTCACACTCTTTGCTCACATTTCACACACAGGCATCACACACAGGAATCACACACAGTCATCACTCACATTCGTCACTGACTCATCGTTCACACTCATCACCGACACTCATCACTCACACTCATCACACACAGGCATCACACACACTCAGCACACACAGTCATCACCGACACTTGTCACTGACTCATCACTCACAGGCATCATACACATGCATCACACATATACATCACACACAGGCATCACACACATGCATCACACACATACATCACACACAGGCATCACACACAGGCATCACACACATACATCAAACACAGGCATCACACACACTCATCACTCACACTTATCCCTGACTCATCACACACAAGCATCACACCCAAGCATCACTCACAGGCAACACTCACAGGCATCACATACAGACATCACAAAAAGGCATTACACACACTTATCACTCATAGTCATCAGAGACAGGCATCACACACACACTCATCACACACAGGCATCACACACAGGCATCACACACATACATCACTCACAGGCATCAAACACTCATCACACACAGGCATCACACACAGGCATTACACACATACATCACTCACAGGCATCACACACACTCATCACACACAGGCATCACTCACAGGCATCACACACATACATCACTCACAGGCATCACACACACTCATCACACACAGGCATAACTCACAGGCATCACACACATACATCACTCACAGGCATCACTCACAGGCATCACACACACTCATCACACACAGGCATCACTCACAGGCATCACTCACATTTATTACTCATATTGATTACACACACTGATCACTCACTTTTATCACACAAAGGCAGCACACACAAGAAGCACACACAGGCACCACTCACACTTATTATTACTCACACTCATCCCTCACACTCATCACTCTAATTCATCACTCTAACTCATCACACACATCACACACAAGCATAGCACACTCATCACTCACACTCATCACTCATGGTCATCAGACACAGGTATCACACACACTCATCACTCACAGGCATCACTCACAGGCATCACTCACTGTCATCACTCACAGTCACAGTCATCACTCGAAGTATTACACACAGGCATCACTTTTGATTGCACACACTGATCACTCACACTCATGACTCACATGCATCACACACAGGCATCACATACAGTCAGTGCTCTCATTCATCACACACGGGCATCACACACAGGCATCACTCATCACTCACAGGCATGGAACACAGGCATCACAAACTCATCACACACATCACACACACTCAGAACACACAATCACTTACACTCATCACTCATATTGATTACACACACAGATCAGACACAGGCATCATACACACAAACTCATCACACACAGGCACCACACACATGCACCACTCACACCCATCAGTCACACACACGCAATACATACACTCATCACTGACTGATCACTCACATTCATCGTTCAAACACAGGCATCACACACATGCACCACTCACACCTGCACCACTCACAGTCATCACTCACACTCGTCACTCACAATCATCACACACACTCATCACACAGAGGCATCGAATACAGGCATCACACAAACACTCATCACACACACTCATCACACACAGGCATCACACATCACTCATAGTCATCCCACACAGGCATCACACACACTCTTCACACACTCTGATCACACACAATCATCACACAGGCATCACTCACAACATGACATGGGTATCGTCAACGGCAGGTAAAGAGTCGGGACACAAACACACACCCCAGCGCGCGCATAGGTGAACCCCGCTTATTCTTAGAGCAATAATACTTTGAGCTTTACACAAATCCGGTCTGACGAGTATAGATAGTAACTTCGAGCAAACACAACGATAAGCTCCAATGCACAATGTCAATGTGAAGTCAACATTACATAAAAGACCTCGCTCATCACGCATACCCTCACGTCATGCACAGCTGGTTGTGAGACCCGGAACAAGAAATAAACAAAATGGTGGTGGATGTGTGTTCACTGTGTATAAACATATTGCTGTTCTGTCACGTGTATGCCTCGGAGCCCGCCATTCCTCAAGGTATGTGCTTTTCTATCGTAAATGTTGGTTTTGTCGGTCGCCATTTGAGAAGGTGCACACTATCGGGTGGTCAACAGTGCATTTATACACTGCCTCTGGTACCCGTTTACATAACATCAGTGATCCTCATCGGATACGATTATTAACAGACAAAATTGATCTTGTTGTGACAACAGGACACAATAAATGATAGAAAGACACTGACAACATGACACAACAGATGACAGAAGGAAACTGATAACATGACACAACAGATGATAGAAAGACACTGACACCATGACACAAAGGATGACAGAAAGAAACTGCAACATGACACAACAGATGATAGAAACACACTGACAAGATGACACAACAGATGATAAAAAGACACTGACAAGATGACACAACAGATGATAAAAAGACACTGACAACATGACACAACACATGATACAAATACACTGACAAGATGACACAACACATGATAAAGAGACACTGACAGCATGACACAACAGATGACAGAAGGAAACTGATAACATGACACAACAGATGATAGAAAGACACTGACACCATGACACAAAGGATGACAGAAAGAAACTGCAACATGACACAACAGATGATAGAAACACACTGACAAGATGACACAACAGATGATAAAAAGACACTGACAAGATGACACAACAGATGATAAAAAGACACTGACAACATGACACAACACATGATACAAATACACTGACAAGATGACACAACACATGATAAAAAGACACTGACAGCATGACACAACAGATGATAGAAACACACTGACAAGATGACACAACAGATGATACAAATACACTTACAACATGACACAACAGATGATACAAACACACTGACAACATGACACAACAGATGCTAGAAACACACTGACAAGATGACACAACAGATGATAGAAAGACACTGACAACATCACACAACACATGATACAAATACACTGACAGCATGACACAACACATGATACATATACACTGACAGCATGACACAACAGATGATAGAAAGACACTGACAACATGACACAACACATGATACAAATACACTGACAACATGACACAACACATGATACAAATACACTGACAGCATGACACAACACATGATACAAATACACTGAAAGCATGACACAACAGATGATAGAAACACACTGACAACATGAGACAACAGATGATAGAAACACACTGACAGCATGACACAACAGATGATAGAAACACACTGACAACATGACACAACAGATGATAAAAAGACACTGACAGCATGACACAACAGATGATAGAAACACACTGACAACATGACACAACAGATGATAGAAACACACTGACAACATGACACAACAGATGATAGAAACACACTGACAACATGACACAACAGATGATAGAAACACACTGACAACATGACACAACAGATGATAGAAACACACTGACAACATGACACAACAGATGATAGAAACACACTGACAACATGACACAACAGATGATAGAAAGACACTGACAACATGACACAACACATGATACAAATACACTGACAGCATGACACAACACATGATACAAATACACTGACAGCATGACACAACAGATGATAGAAAGACACTGACAACATGACACAACACATGATACAAATACACTGACAACATGACACAACACATGATACAAATACACTGACAGCATGACACAACACATGATACAAATACACTGACAGCATGACACAACAGATGATAGAAAGACACTGACAACATGACACAACACATGATACAAATACACTGACAGCATGACATAAAGGATGATAGAAACACACTGACAGCATGACACAACAGATGATAGAAACACACTGACAGCATGACACAACAGATGGTACAAATACACTGACAAGATGACACAACAGATGATAGAAACACACTGACAACATGACACAACACATGATACAAATACACTGACAACATGACACAACACATGATACAAATACACTGACAGCATGACACAACACATGATACAAATACACTGACAGCATGACACAACACATGATACAAATACACTGACAGCATGACATAAAGGATGATAGAAACACACTAACAGCATGACACAACAGATGATAGAAACACACTGACAGCATGACACAACAGATGATAGAAACACACTGACAGCATGACACAACAGATGATAGAAACACACTGACAGCATGACACAACAGATGATAGAAACACACTGACAAGATGACACAACACATGATAGAAATACACTGACAACATGACACAACAGATGTTAGAAACACACTGACAAGATGACACAACAGATGATAAAAAGACACTGACAACATGAGACAACAGATGATAGAAACATACTGACAAGATGACACAACAGATGATAGAAACACACTGACAACATGACACAACACATGATACAAATACACTGACAACATGACACAACACATGATACAAATACACTGACAGCATGACACAACACATGATACAAATACACTGACAGCATGACACAACACATGATACAAATACACTGACAGCATGACATAAAGGATGATAGAAACACACTGACAGCATGACACAACAGATGATAGAAACACACTGACAGCATGACACAACAGATGATAGAAACACACTGACAGCATGACACAACAGATGATAGAAACACACTGACAGCATGACACAACACATGATACAAATACACTGACAGCATGACACAACACATGATACAAATACACTGACAGCATGACACAACAGATGATAGAAAGACACTGACAACATGACACAACACATGATACAAATACACTGACAGCATGACATAAAGGATGATAGAAACACACTGACAGCATGACACAACAGATGATAGAAACACACTGACAGCATGACACAACAGATGGTACAAATACACTGACAAGATGACACAACAGATGATAGAAACACACTGACAACATGACACAACACATGATACAAATACACTGACAACATGACACAACACATGATACAAATACACTGACAGCATGACACAACACATGATACAAATACACTGACAGCATGACACAACACATGATACAAATACACTGACAGCATGACATAAAGGATGATAGAAACACACTGACAGCATGACACAACAGATGATAGAAACACACTGACAGCATGACACAACAGATGATAGAAACACACTGACAGCATGACACAACAGATGATAGAAACACACTGACAGCATGACACAACAGATGATAGAAACACACTGACAAGATGACACAACACATGATAGAAATACACTGACAACATGACACAACAGATGTTAGAAACACACTGACAAGATGACACAACAGATGATAAAAAGACACTGACAACATGAGACAACAGATGATAGAAACACACTGACAAGATGACACAACAGATGATAAAAAGACACTGACAACATGAGACAACACATGATAGAAACACACTGACAGCATGACACAACAGATGATAGAAACACACTGACAACATGACACAACAGATGATAGAAACACACTGACAACATGACACAACAGATGATAGAAACACACTGACAAGATGACACAACACATGATAGAAACACACTGACAGCATGACATAAAGGATGATAGAAACACACTGACAGCATGACACAACAGATGATAGAAACACACTGACAACATGACACAACAGATGATAGAAACACACTGACAACATGACACAACAGATGATAGAAAGACACTGACAGCATGACACAACAGATGATAAAAAGACACTGACAACATGACATAAAGGATGATAGAAACACACTGACAACATGACACAACACATGATAGAAACACACTGACAACATGACACAACAGATGATAGAAACACACTGACAACATGACACAACAGATGATAGAAACACACTGACAACATGACACAACAGATCATAGAAACACACTGACAACATGACACAACAGATGATAGAAAGACACTGACAACATGACACAACACATGATAGAAACACACTGACAAGATTACACAACAGATGATACAAATACACTGACAACATGAGACAACAGATGATAGAAACACACTGACAACATGACACAACAGATGATAGAAACACACTGACAACATGACACAACAGATGATAGAAACACACTGACAACATGACACAACAGATGATAGAAACACACTGACAACATGACACAACAGATGATAGAAACACACTGACAACATGAGACAACAGATGATAGAAACACACTGACAACATGACACAACAGATGATACAAATACACTGACAGCATGACACAACAGATGATAGAAACACACTGACAACATGAGACAACAGATAATAGAAAGACACTGACAACATGACACAACAGATGATAGAAACACACTGACAACATGACACAACAGATGATAGAAACACACTGACAACATGACACAACAGATGATAGAAACACACTGACAACATGACACAACAGATGATAAAAAGACACTGACAGCATGACACAACAGATGATAGAAACACACTGACAACATGACACAACAGATGATAGAAACACACTGACAACATGACACAACAGATGATACATATACACTGACAACATGACACAACAGATGATAGAAACACACTGACAACATGACACAACAGATGATAGAAACACACTGACAACATGACACAACACATGATACAAACACACTGACAACATGACACAACACATGATACAAACACACTGACAACATGAGACAACAGATGATAGAAACACACTGACAACATGACACAACAGATGATAGAAACACACTGACAACATGACACAACAGATGATAGAAACACACTGACAACATGACACAACAGATAATAGAAACACATTGACAACATGACACAACAGATGATAGAAAGACACTGACAACATGACACAACACATGATAGAAACACACTGACAAGATTACACAACAGATGATAGAAACACACTGACAACATGACACAACAGATGATAGAAACACACTGACAAGATTACACAACAGATGATACAAATACACTGACAGC